GAGGCGCGCGCCGTAGGGACCTTGTACCTGCCAGGCGTGCTTGACATGCGCGGCGTCCTCCAGGGGGCCGGGGCGGGGCGGGGCGGGGCGGGGCGGTATTCGAGTCACGGCGGCATAATTGCCACCAGTCCGACAAGGTACGCGCGGTGCGGTGCGCGGCCCGCCGGCGACGACAGGCCGCGTCATCGTCAAACTCGCCTCCCTTTCCGCGTCCCGGCTGTCGGCGTGCTGTCGGCGAGCTGCGACTCGGCCCCGCGGGGCGCCGGGGCCTACACTCTGCGCCACCACTGTACACCGCGCCGGGGGCGGACGGGGCGGCGGTAATCCATTCCAGAGGACAGTCAGCCGGAGGATCCTGGCGGCGCGGCTTGGAGCTCCTCAATGCCAGCCGCCGTCGGCGACTGCCCCGCCCCCTGCCTACGCCCCGCGACGCCGTAATCCCACCCCGCCCCGCCCCGCCCCGCCCCGCCCCGCCCCGCCCCGCCCCGCCCCGCCCCCGGGGCACCAGGTTAGGACTGCCGGGCTTCGGGGGGCGCTACTTTGGCGGAATCCAACTCGGGAAGCGTGTCGCGTCGCGCCGCCTGCCTGGCATGGACCCGCACCGAGTCCTTTGCGTCCCTGCGGCGCTGCGGCGCGCCGTGCTACCCCGAGTCCATGGCCCCCCTCCCCCGCCCCTGCCCTCCCCGCCCCGCCCCGGCCGGAGTCCGGAGTGCTGTCCCCGGATGCTTTTTCCAGCCCCTTCTCCCCGTCTCCCCCACGATCCCCTTAAAACCGCCCCCTCCGGGCATTGGAGTCATTCATCTTCACTTCTCGACCCCTGGCGGGGCCTCCGGCGGGGCGCTGGGCCCCGGGCAGGGCCCCCGCCGTCGTCCTTCGCGTCCTGCAGCCCGCGGGCCGGCCCGGGCCTGGGGGTGGTGTCGGGGTGGTGTCCCGGTGTAGCTGGCTGGGTGGACCCCCCGCAGCCCCGCGCCATAAATGCCACCAGCTAGACCGTGCTAGGCGGAGCCTAGCTCGACGCGCCCCCGAGCAGAATAATCCTAACTGCCAGTGCGAGTAGGCCAAGACACTTCTAACTGCCAGTGTAGATTCATTATCATCATCATCATCATCATCATCATCATCATCATCAGCAGCAGCAGCAGCAGCATAGCATCATCAACATCAGCGCTGTTAAGGCTCAGCAGACAAGCGTTCGAATATGCAACCATAACAAACAACAAACACAGGACAACAAAACCTCAAATGCAGGAGTGTCTTGCTTGCAGCAGTCTGCCTAATCTTACTCGGAAAGAACTATTTTAGAGCAGCACATAACGTAAGCGGCCCGTGACGCCAACAATCGCCAACAATCTACGTAAAATCAAAGAACGGAGAAGTTTCATGTAAAAACCTGGACATTCTATTGGTGCAAATCAAGATTTGCTGATGCGCAAGAGCCAATGAGCATATCACCTCTACATTAATCCGAATCCTGACTAGCAGTTAGGATTACAACTACTGAGGCGTTGAGCTGCGAATTCCAAATCATCAGCAAGAAAAAAAAACGACTGTTCTGCTCATTACTTTATATTGAGTAGAAATTTCTCTTTTCCGGTCGAGTATGTAAAAAAAAACTGGAAAAGAGTTGGCAAGTTGTGCACTGCTCTGCTCGGCGGGGCGCGCGGGGCGCGCGGGGCGGGTAGAGTGATGGGTCGCGCGGGCTAGGCGCGCATGTCCGAGGACATGTCCCGGTCCAACCCGCGCGCTGGCCCCTCATTTCGCTGCCCTGATTTGCACCCCCGGCGTGTGCGTCCCAAACAGGCACGCCGTCAAGCGGACGGACAGAGGAGCAGACAGACAGACAGACAGACAGACAGACAGACAGACAGACAGAGATTCGCCCGAACGAATCGCGGGCCGCGGAAAGTCTGCATTAAACAGCGCGAAACAAAACCATATCCGCGGACCTGGGCAAAAGCGCGGCGCGGCGCTCGCGGCCGAGGCCTGGCCGGGCGGCCCGGCCCGTTCAGGCCGTACCTCAATTCCGCGCAATTTGGTGGGGAGTGCTCCGCCACGCCGGCAGGGCCTCCTCCGTTCTTATCATATGTCGTTATTGCCGTGCACTCGTGTGTGTGTGTGTGTGTGTGTGTGTGCCCCCTTCCCCCTTCGGAAGCGTACGCGTTTCTCCTTGTCGCCCGTGCCATCAGTCACCCCTTTGTGTCGTCTGCGGCCAGCCGCGCCTTTTGTCTCGGCTTGACTCGCTCGGCTCGGCTCGGCTCGGCTCGGCTCGGCTCGGCTCGGCTCGGCTCGGCTCGGCAGCAAAGGCTTGGCTTGGCTTGGATCACCTACCCACTTTGAGAGAGCCAGGAAGCGCGCCGAGGCGCTGAGACTAGTGTCAACGAACGCTTGCCCGTTTTCCGTTTTCCAAGCGCTCCAAAAACTTTCCCCGCCTGAAGTCAGTGCCTCGGCTGCTTCTGCTTGTCTTTTCTGCGCTCATGCGCTCACGGCTCACCCTTGGCTTACGAGCCCCGCGCGTTTTTCAGCGCCACTCTGTCGAGTGTACGCGGCGCGCGGCTCTGTTGGTTCTGCCTTGGCTCTGCCCGGGCCGGGACCACTGGAGCGCGGTTCGGCTCGGCAGTGCTGGAACAACGGGCTGCCTGGAGCGGCCTGGAGCGGCCCGGAGCCTGGAGGGCCGACCGTCGCCAATGCCAGGCTACCCGAGGCCAAAGTGAAGGGGCTTAAGCTCGACAAACTGAGCCGCATGCGCGGCAAGCGCAGGAACGGTGTGCACGCATGCGAGGCACCCTGCACGTTGAAGAGTGGGTGAGTGTGTGAGTGTATGTGTGTGAGTGTATGTGTGTGAGTGAGTGTGTGTGAGTGAGTGTGTGTGGTTTGGGGGGGGGGCATGCAGCCAAAGGCATGGTACATACGGAGTGAGCCATTGCCCGCAGTTCGGCAGGAAGCTTAAGGGGCACAGGATTCGCAATGCCCCCAACTGGGCACTTCCTCGAATTTAATAATCCATCTGGTACCTTCCGTTCAAAACAGAGAGAGAGAGAGAGAGGGAGGGAGCGAGAGAGAGAGAGAGAGAGAGAGAGAGAGAGAGAGAGAGAGAGAGAGAGAAGAGAGAGAGAGAGAGAGAGAACTTTGAGATGAATGAAATGTGCCCCCCCGGATGGATCCCTCTTTTTTTTCGCAGAGCGCAGCGCCCTTTCCCTTCGCTTTCTCGCTCCTCCCCGCCGGCGTCGGTGACGTTGGCGCCATCACGACATTTCGTCGATAACTTTTCAATCACGGCGGCAAGTTTCAAGAATTCCAATTGGATGTTGTCGCGCCGCGCCCTCTGCCCTCGCAGCGAGCCTCTCGAACCACCCCGCCCCGCCCCGCCCCGCCCCGCCCCGCCCCGCCCCGCCCCGCCCCGCCCCACGCACGGCAGGTGCGTCCGTTCCTATGATCCGTCGCGCGGGAGAGGGAAAACCTCGTTTGTAAAGTAAATTTCGCAATCGTGATAAGGAAAGAAAGGATCTGTGCCAAAAATAAATAAAATCGAAAACAAAAAATGCCACGAGAGCAGGCGGTTTGCTTCCCGGAATCTTGTGACCACACGCGCACACACACGCACACAAATCAGCACACGCATACTCACTCTCTCTCACACTTGCGCACGCGCGCACGCACGCACACACACACACACACACACAAACACGCACACACACACACACACACACACACACACGGGCGCGCACTCCCAGCATAGCGCACGGCGCTCCGACCCGCGAGGCGGAATTCGCGGAATCGCTGGGCGTATGGCCGTTTCCATCGTTTATTGGCTGCATACAAAACTCCGCGCGTCGCTGTTGTTGTTGTTTGTTGTTGTCCTTGTTGGTTTCCTCGTTTTTTTAACGTCACACTCACAAACGTGCCGATGAGGAGGAGGGGAGCGGGGAGATGATTGGATTGGGATTCCTCGCGATGGAAATAAATGTTTACGCTTGCCGCCGCGTGCAGCGCGTCCAGGGCGTTATTGTTTGCAGATAAATGAAATCGCGTTTCTAATCGCGCCTCGTCGGAATGAGACGCAAACGGCCTGGCAAACGGGATGGCGCGAGCGGGCGCACTGTAGCAGTGCGGGCGGATGTTCGACCTGCGGAGGCCGAAACAAGGTTAAGCTTCGGGGTTCGGGGCCTCCAAGCGCGGGGCGCGGATCTAGTTGGGGGGCAAAAGGACAGGACAACTACTGACCCCTCCGTGCCCCTGCACTGGCAATGAAAGGGCGATGATCAATACCCAATTTTTAGCGAGGCAAATTTCCTCTCCCAAAATTTGGCGAGGTGTTAATCACCGCCCCAGATTGAGCGAGATAACCGCCTGGAAGATCGAACAAACACTTTGTCACTTTGCCCCTCCCTCGGGCTCGGGCTGGCTCTGGACCCGCCACTGGGAACCCCGCCGGCCCTGCAGTCTGTCGGCCACCTCGGCGGCACGGCACTGTTGCTGCCTGGCCCCTTGTCCGCGACACTGTCTAGAGTGACCCGCCGCCTTGCTAATGGGCCTCGGAGGGGAAGGGGGAGGGGGGGGGCTTGACAATCACTTGAGGAGTCGTCTCGTCGGGGGACGGCCCCGGACGGCCCTGATGGGGCTAAGGGGCTGTTCTATTCTTGAACAGAATAGTTGTTCTCGAATATTTGGGATCACAGGAACAAAGACTCAGACTCAATGACCAAAGGGAACACTCCAGAGAGAGATTTATTATTCATAGGTTAGTTGCATAGTATGGACACCGGGGTTTACAAGGCAGTGACACGAATAGTTCTCATACCCGACTTCTGGGCGGTACTGCCAACGTAATCTCATACCACTACAACACCTCCCCCTTCGAGACACTAAAGTATTCAGTTGGCAACACTTTCTACGTTGAAAGTAAACAAACACATAGCAGAATACAAAAGTTGATTATATTTGATATAAAAATACAGAGTAATATATTTGATTACATGAATAATATTTATTAACAGCTCCCATCAAACGATGGGGTTTTTAGGATCTTCCGCCCAAAATCTTGTTTTTTGTCGTGACTCAAATGTCATCAATCCTTGAGCTGCTGGAACAGAAACAGCACGAACAGTAGGGTTAGGGTTAATGGTCACTTTCTTTTCACCAGCTCTAATATTGGCGAGAATTGCATCAGCATCAATTTCTTTATTTTCTCTAGCATCAACTCTGTCCGGTTTGGTACTAGAATGTTTCAAATGCCATGTATTTCTGCGTAACTGACCTCCCCCTAATAGTTCAACTACGTAACTTCTGTTACCAGAAAGTTTACGAACTATATTCCCTTTCTGCCATTTCTTTCCTCGTCTGACAACCACACTGTCGGGTGATTCCGTACGTAGGGGCCGTTTTAGCCACCTTAGAAGTCACATAATCAATCTTGCTTGTTCGGCCTGAATATTGCCTAGATGGCGTCAATAGGACACCAGGAAGACACTCTGAGCGTGGGCGAGCTAAAAATTGATTTTCGTTTTCTCCCCCTATAAAATATGACGAAATTTACTGCAAATATGACGGAAATTACGCTAAACGGAAATTACAAATAGATGTTTCTGGCTCACTGCAAATGCCCATCGCCTCAGAAATATGCCATAAGTTTGGCACACTAGTCCGACGTCAAGACACGTCTTTTCACGTGTAGGATGACTTTCTAAACCCAATAGGAGAGGGGCGAGAGGGGCATACGGAAATTACATCAATTGTTACAACCCACCGTTTTCACACACAACTTCCACTCGCACACTCAGCCCCCTTACTTTTTCGCCACCGGAATTCGTTCATAGGGTAAACAGACCGTGCTGATTCTAAATACGGCGGTGGTTTTGAGCAGGGAGCACTCCTAGTAGTTTAGATGATGGTTACTTTGAAACTACTGAGACAAAAGTCGGAGTACGGTGGACATTTTTTACGCGTTCTGAAAGGACACTTCCAATCAATATACGATCTTAAAATTCAAGCAAGATAGTCACTATACGTTAGAGATTTGATGGGTGTGTGTGGAATTCGAAGATTACAATGGAACAAATGGTTACAGAGCCGCAAAGTTGGTGAAAGGTGCGAATGGACATGACGGAACTTACAAAATCGACCCTTTTGGGCCCCCTCCCGCGTCACATGTTAGCTTTGTAAGTCCATATACAAAGGGAACAAGCTAGTCTGGTGCCAAACAAGATTTTTAAGTGCATAAATGGACTGCACTCGAATAAGTTTGCCCTGGGGAGGGTGTGGACACGAAAATGCCCTCTACGCGCGGAATCACCCTGTCACCTTGTGAAAAGTTTACAGGTTTACGGTTAGCATGCAAGTCATGTTGAGATTTTACTTTATCTTGCAATCTTTTTAGCACTTGCTTAACCTTCACAACTTTTGGTTCGAGATTTTTGTTTAGTATTGGGACTAAAGTACGACACTTTCTACTCATAAGTATTTCAGCTGGAGACACATTCATACCCGTTAAAGGTGTGTTATTATACTCCTTGAGAGCATCCAGAATATGCGTACCAGAATCACTGCATTTTTTAAGCATTTGTTTAGCAATATGAACTCCTTTTTCAGCCAGTCCATTGCTTCTAGCATATTCAGGTGAACTGGTTTTAATCACACTCCCCATGCTTTTTGCAAACTCATGACACTCATGTGAATTGAGCGGATTATTATCACCAAATATTATTTGTGGATTACCATGAGTAGAGAAAATAGATCTCAGTGCATCTATTACAGCTTACTACTTTACTTGACAGTGGTTTATTTCTAACCATTTTGACAAGTAGTCCTCAACAACCAAAAAATTTGGAAATTTAAAAATGTAATTTTCAATTCCTATTTTCTGGAACCTCAATTGCGGAATGTCATGGGGAAATTAGTGGCTCATGTTTATTTTTGGCACTATGTCTTTCACATGTCCGACATTCTTTTATAAATGTGGTTATGTCTTTGACATACCTGGCCAATACACAGATTGCCGGGCTCTATTTTTGGGTTTTTCTCAACACCCAAGTGAGCGGTATGTAAATTTTTAAAAACTTTTTTCCTGAGCGATACCGGAATGTTTTTTCTATCTTCCAAAATTACCAATTTATCTTCTACAAAGATATCCATTCTCAGTTTCCAATTTTTTTGCCTCAGTAACAATATCTTTGTTTTTTTTAGGCCAACCTTCCTGGTAATATTGCATCACAGCTGACAAACCGGGGTCGTTTGCTGTTTCTCTCACCAGATCACCCTTGACATTGAGTGACATGTCAATATATTTTGTCACCTCATGTACAACCTCAACCTTTTCTGGATCATCCTCTACAGGATCTTCCAGGCAATTCTAGACGTAAATCAGCTATATGCATATTTTTACCCGGTAAATATTCAACTTTAGGTTGGAATCTGAGAAATTGAGTCTCATTTTTTTAAAACCTGTTGTTGGTTATTTTGTAAATGGGTTTTTTAAAATATGAATCAAAGGTTGGTGATCATTTTGGAAAATACATCAGGCATACCCCAAATGTATTTTTCAAACTTATGGGCAGCATAGCAAAAAGCCAGCATTTCTTTCTCAATCTGAGCATAATTCTTTTCTGTTTCAGTGAGAATTCTGGAATCTAAAACTACAGGTTTTTTATCTTGCAAGAGACAGCAGCCCAGTCCATACGGCTGGCATCCGCTTGAATTTAATTGGTTTTTTGCTATCAAATGTAGCCAAGACAGGGGCCTTTGAATACTTTTTTTTAGAGTTTGAAGAGCTTTTGCATGTGTAGGCATCCATTTTTAAAGAACAGCATTAGACGCAAATTTATAGAGGGAGCAGCAATGTAGCCATCTGAGGAATAAATTTTTTCAGATAGTTAAAAATACCCAAACATTTTTGGAGTTGTGTTTTTTTTTTTGGTTTTTTAATTGCTTTTATTGCTCGAACTCTTTCTGGATCCACTTTGGTTTTTTTTTTTGACCACAAGTGTCCCAGGAATTTTTCTTCTTTTTGTCTGTACTGAATTTTACCAGGATTAAAACCCAACATTCTGCCTTTGGCCTTCTCCATTACTTTTGAAGTTTTAGATCATGATCCTCATAGTCTTTACCTGCTATAAGAAAACATCAAATATACTATTGCGCCTGTACCCCGAAATGCTTTTCAGTCATAAACTGGAATATTTCAGGTGCACACTTCAACCCAAATGGCATTTTTAAACCCTTTTAAATCACAGACACTGAAACCTTTCATAAAATTGGTGTTGGGTTTATTTTGACTATTGGCACCCCTTGAGGCATTTTCGTTTAAATTTAAGTTTGGGGGGGCCTGCTTCGCACGCTGGGGTATGTTTTATGAGTACCACAAAATGACTTGAGGGTTACCCAGCACTTATTTAAGTTCTTTTTTTCCCGCCCCCCTCGCCCCACGGGTTCAACGTTATTTGGTGTACAAAACACATGTAAACAAACGTTACGTCGCATGAGATCGGTTTATACTAGGGATCCCTAAAAAAACTCGAAAATTGGGCAAAAAAAGACCATTTTTCCGCAGGGCTGTACACGATCTAATTGGCTCAGAAATCCAACCAAATTGGGGTGTGGTGTGGTGACCTAAGTAAAAGAAGTACTCTGTATGTACCCAACACAAAATTTCTCGAAGGTGTGATCTTTTTGGCGAAAAAAGGTGAACGTTGTACAGGTACAACGTCGTGACCTGAGGGTAGCATAAACACGGGCAACGCTCTAAATGACAAACTATGCACCTAAAACTTCAAACAAATTTCTAAATACTTGCACAACACCCTAAGGAAAGACTTTTAAGCATTCTGAGCTAAAATTGTTCAAAGATATGATCTGCGAGGCTGAGAAAAGTGTTCGTTGTACTGGTACAACGTCGGACTTTTCCGTTGTTCCGTCATGCACTATAGCGCGTTAGGCAAGCCCCCCACACGACGGCGAGCGGGTTGCATACCTTCAAATTCTATGGCGATTTTGAAACACCTGGTACAGTGGGCACACAAATGACAGAAAATCTCACTTCCCTCGTCAGAAAGGTGTCTTGATGAAATCAAATGGACGTTGTACATGTACAACATCGTGACTTCCGTCGGATTTATCATCGTCCGTCGCCATGTCGTCCTCGAGACGAATTTTTAGCTCAAACAACTGTTTATACACAAAACTCGCCGATTTGGCGGTAAACATCAATTTTCGAGCCACTAAACCGGTCTCAAAATTTGGTAAGAATCGGTAACCCTGAAGTATTTTGTTGTTTATAAACAACATTCATCTAAAGCTGAGCCTCAGGCCTCTG